AAAGGTGAGGAGTATGACAGTCACCCTGAAATGACAAGAGAAGCCAACAATAACAATTATAGTAATAATGTGTGTACAGAAAGTACTAAACGACCATTAAATGAAGAGCAGATTACTAGGTGTTATGGAAGATACATATGCAGTGAAATACAAGTTCCAGATCTCAGGGAGTTTGCAAGTGAAAAAGAATATAACATATATACAAGGGAACTTCAAAAAGTTCATGAAAAATGAAGTTAAAGGACAAAAAGTATAAACTTTATTTCTTAACGTAGGCACCATCAAGGTCAAGACACTATTGTCAGAGTTACCAGCCATTTAGTCCATCCTTAAAAAAAATGAGGGTCCCGGGAATTTAACCATGTCAATGCAGTCTTTATTAACTGAAGAAAAATGGGTGCCCTTTACAGATTTTTTAAGATTAGGAAACAAAAAGAAGTCAGAAAGATTTCCCGTGGAAGCTCTTGCAAAATTGCCCTTGTTTGATGAGAGGAATGGGCAGGAGCATTGTCATGGTGAAGAAGGACTCTCTGGTGAATCTCCTGGGCATTTTTCTGCTAAAGCTTTGCTTTCTCAAAATACTCTAATAATAAGGAGATGTTGTCATTTTTTGGCCCTCTAGAAAATCAACAAGCGAAATGCCTTGAGCATCACAAAGAACTGTTGCCATGATCTTTGCTCTTGACTGCTTTGTTTGTTTTTGGAGAGAGAGTCTTGTTCTGTCGCCCCGGCTGGAGTGCAGTGGCGCAATCTTGGCTCACTGCACCTGCACTCTGCACCTCCCAGGTTCAAACCATTCACCTGCCTCAGCCTCCCAAGTAGCTGGGATTACAGACATGCACCAGCACTCCTAATTTTGTATTTTTATATTTATATTTTTATTTTACTGTTATTTTTTGGAGATGGAGTATCGCTCTGTCACCCAGGCGGGAGTGCAGTGGCGCCATCTCGGCTCACCGCAACCTCTGCCTCCCAGGCTCAAGCAATTCTCATGCCTCAGCCTGCGGAGCAGCTGGGATTACAGGTGCGTGCCGCCACACCTGGCTAATTTTTGTATTTTTAGTAGAGACAGGCTCTCACCGTGTCGACGAGCAGGGTCTCAAACTCCTGACATCAAATGATCCACCTGCCTCGGCCTCCCAAAGTGCTGAGATTACAGGTGTGAGTCACTGCACCTGGCTTAATTTTTGTATTTTTAGGAGAGATGAGGCTTCACCATGTTGGCCAGGCTGGTCTCAAACTCCTGGCCTGAAGTGATCCACCTGTCTTGGCCTCCCAAAGTGCTGGGATTACAGGTGTAAGCCACCGCGCCTGGCCTGGTCTGCTTTTGCTTTGACTGCACCATTTGCAATTCTTGGAAGCCACTGCTTTGATCGTGCCTTGTATTCAGGATCCTTCTGGTAAAGCCATCCTGTTATAGTTCTTCAAATAAATGCTTCAGCATCTTGATCTCACTTGTTTAAAATGTTCATTTAAGGCCGGGCGCAGTGGCTCACGCCTGTAATCCCAGCACTTTGGGAGGCCAAGGCAGGCGAATCACCTGAGGTCGGGAGTTCGAGACCAGCCTGACCAACATGGAGAAACCCCGTCTCTACTAAAAATATAAAATTAGCCAGGTGTGGTGGCACATGCCTATAATCCCAGCTACTAGGGGGGATTGCTTGAACCTGGGAGGCGGAGGTTGCGGTGAGCCAAGATCGTGCCATTGCACTCCAGCCAGGACAACAAGAGTGAAACTCCTAAAAAATAAGTTCATTTAAAAGGTCTGCTGTTGACTGCAGCTGATCTGGGTGTAATGGTTTTGGCATCCACTGAGTGGAAGGTTTGCTCAACTTTAATTTTTCATTTGTAATTGTGTAAGCTGAACCAGTGAGATGTCTATGCTGTTGGCTGTTATTTGTGCTGTTAATTGTTAGTCCTCTTCAATTAGGGCATGAAGGTGCTGAATTTTTGTCTCACAAATGGATGTAATGATCCGGCACTGTGGGTTTCCTCTTCAAGACTGTCTCATCCCTTTTTAAATTGAGTTATTTGTTTGTAAACTGCTGCTTTCTTTGGGGGCATTGTCACCATAAACTTTTTGTAAAGCATTTGTGATTTCACTGTTCTTCCACCAAAGCTTTACTGTAAATTTGATATTCTTGCTTCAATTTTACAGAATTTGTGTTGCTCAGATAAAGACTGTTTTCTAACTGACGACTTCTTCTTCTTAGTACCTCCAGCTAGATCCTTTGAGACATATTACAGCAAGATAGTATGAGTTTATTTTGGTGCAAACAAATTTTGAAATCATGCATAGTTTTTTTTGTAGCATGCATTTTCCATGGACTTTTTGAAGTCCCCTTATATATATAGACTTATAAAGGCAGCTTCAACTGAAACATACTTTACACATGTTCTGTTATATGTGGTTGAAGATATAAAATTACCATTTTTGTAGGTAAAATGTATTTGAATATTCACACTTTCATGTAGCCAACCTAATTGTTACCATCACCCAAAATATTCACAGTGACTTGATTTGGAAACTTCAACATTCCAGAACATTCACAGTTACTTGATTTGGAAACTTCAACATTGCAGAGCATTCACAATTACTCGACTTGGAAACTTCAACATTCCAGAACATTAACAATTACTCGACTTGGAAACTTCAAATTCCAGAACATTCACAATTACTTGACTTGGAAACTTCAACATTCCAGAACATTCACAATTACTTGACTTGCCATCACGCGGTAATTACCTGTAGACCTCTGGGGTCCCCTGCTTCTCCTCACTCCTGAAGGTTTTGACTCCTGACTCACTGTCGCTCTTTTAAATGTGACTCTTGGCAACATTCTTGGTGATTTCAACATCCACAAAGACAAGCTTTCCAGTATTCTCATTTCTTGACTTCTGAAAATGTTCTTGGATGCCATTTTACCTCAAATACCCAGTTCCATGGTTATATCTTAGACACTGGAATATTTACATCATTTTGCTTCTGGGGTACCACTCTTTTGATTCTTCCCTTACTCATTGGCCACATTTTGAATAGTCTGTTGGTTTCTCCTCATCAACTGACCTCTATATGCAGGAATACCCTAGGGCCTGGTCATCAGACATCGTTTTTTCTTTGTCTGTGCTCACCACTTAATGTGACCTCATTCACTCTCATGACTTTAGTTCCATCTGAATACTGATGACAACTATGGTTTAAATGCGTCCCCTCCAAAATTCAGGTGTTGCCAGTGTGCTGATAATAAGAGGTGGCTTCTTGAAGAGGTGATTAAGTCATGAAGGTTTCTCCCTTATGAATGGAATTAAGGCCTTTATTAAAAAGGCTTCTCAGCCATCATCCTCAGCAAACTAACACAGGAACAGAAAACCAAACACTGCATGTTCTCACTCATAAATGGGAGCTGAACAATGAGAACACATGGACATAGGGAGGGGAACATCACACACTGGGGACTGTCAGGGTAGGGTGAGGGGATGGAGAGCATCAGGATAAACAGATAATGCATGTGGGGCTTAATACCTAGGTGATGGGCTGACAGGTGCAGCAACCCACTGTGGCATATGTTTACCTATGTAACAAACCTGCTCATTCTGCATGTGTATGCTGGAACTTAAAGTAAAATTTACAAAAAAGAAAATATAAATGGTTAATTAACAAATAAAAATGTATTTCACCTCAAAAATAAAAATAAAAAATAAAAAGGCTTCACCAAGCATTTGGCATCTTTTGCTCTTCTTCCTTCTACCAGATGAGAACACAGTAAGAAGGCTGCACCAGAGGCTGTGGTCTTGATCGTGGACTTAACCTCCAAAACTGAGAAAATAATTATCTGTTCTTTATAAATTGCCCAATGTCAGGTACTCTGTTACAGCAGCACAAATGGACGAAGACAGTGATTTCCAAATTTATATCACTAGCTCAGACCTGTCCTCTGAATTCAGATTCTTATATGTCGCTGCTTCTCAGCCTCATCTACTTTGGATATCTAATAGGCATCTTAAATGTGTCCTGTCTAAAAAAGAACTTATGGGCCAGGCACAGTGACTCATGCCTGTAATCCTACCATGTTGGGAGGCTGAGGCAGGTGGATCACCTGAGGTTAGGAGTTCGAGACCAGCCTGGCCAATGTGGCAAAACCCTGTCTCTACTAAAAATACAAAAATTAGCTGGAAGATTGGCATGTGCCTGTAATCCCAGCTACTTGGGAGGTTGAGGGAAGAGAATCGCTTGAACCCGGTACGTGGAGGCTGCAGTGAGCCGAGACTGCGCCATTGCACTCCAGCTAAGGCAACAAGAATGAAACTCGGTCTCTAAATAAATAAATAAATAAAAATAAAAAAGAACCTATTTTCTTATACACTGTCTCTTTCCCAAATCTTCCCTATCTCAGTAAATGGCACTTTCATCTTTCTAGTTTGTTTAGGCCAAAAAATCTTACAGTCACTTTCATTTTTCCCTTTCTTACCACATACTCAATGCACCAGCAAATCCTATTAGCTTTACCTTCGAAATATATGATACCCAGAATCCGACCACTTCTCGCCACTTTCTACTTCTGCTTTTCTTCCAGGTTACTCTCATCTGGATTATTGTAGCTACCTTGTAACTGGTATCCCCGCTTTCTCCCATCCCCCATCTAATCTCCACAAAAATCAGAGCATGTCACTCCTGACCCCAAGGTCCCCTCAACGACTCCACCCCACCCCACTCAGATCTTTTTTTTTTTTTTTTCGAGATAGAGTCGTGCTCTGTCTCCTAGGCTGGAGTGCAGTGGTGCTATCTCAGCTCACTGCAACCTCCACCTCCTGGATTCAAGCGATTCTCCTGCCTCAGCCTCCTGAGTAGCTGGGACTACAGGTGCACATCACGCCTGGTTAATTTTTATGTTTTTAGTTGAGAATAGGGTTTTACCATGTTGGCCAGGCTGGTCTCGAACTCCTAACCTCAGGTGATCCACCCACCTTGGCCTCACAAAGTACTGGGATTACAGGTGTGAGCCATCATGCCCAGCCTAAAGTCAATTATCTTACCATGGCCCACAAGGATGCTTTGATCCAACCAGCCTATCTCATATTCTACCACTTTCCCGTTTTCTCACAGTACTCCAATCACATTGGCCTTCTTTCTGGCCTTCAGATGTGCCAAATATACTCTCCTTGACGCACCTACTGCTGCCTTTGTTTGGAATGTACTTTCCCAGATGCCCATGTGGCACACCCAAATGCTCAAGTGGCCCCCTTATTAGTGAGGCCTTCCTATAGCATTGTAGATGACGGGTATAAGGTGGGACTCAGAACATACTCCCTATCCTCCTTACTCCACTTTACCTGACTCCAAACACTATCACCCCCTGACGTAGTACATATTTTTTATTTGTTTAGCATCTGTCTCTCTCTGACTAGAATGCAAGCTCCATGAGGACAGAGATTTTTGTTTTGTTTACTGCCATATTGTCAGCAGCTAGAGCAATGTTTGGCATGTAGTAGCACTCAGTGAATATTCACTGAATAAATGAGCTACCTAAAATAACTGCATTCACATCCTAACCCAACTAGTGTCTAAAATAATGTAATAAATGACTAGACTGCAAATGAATTATTTTCCAGATGTCTTTAAGTTGGGTGTTGGAAAGTCAATATGCATTTTTCATACAAATATAAAGTAAGTACTGTTATTATCCCCATCTTATGGATGAGAAATCTGAGACTCAGCTTATGCTACTGTGCCTGTTTTCTGATTTTGAGGTGTGTACCTCACCACTTCTACTAAATTTCCAGGTCAGATCATAAAACCTTACGTAAGCCATAAAATCCAGATACAAAGTAGTCTATAAAAAGGAAGGACTAGAATGGAAGATACCTATCTTACACACAAACAGCTATATCTAGAGTATAGGCTTCTTAGCTTTCTAGATGTTTCACCCAATTATAACTGTTCTTTGATAGTGATACAATGATAGAGGCAGGAGGCAGAGAAATTCTAGGCAGACAGGCAGATCCCTGGTGAAGCATCACCCTCAAGCTGAAAAACTTGAAACCACTGCCTAAAGTGAGAACTTATATCCCTGTTTTCCTGCTTGAATGTTGTCTTTTCCTAAACTACGATGGCCTGCCCCACCCCATCCTATGCCTATAAAGACCCCAGACTCAGCCAGCAGGGAGGAGAAACAGCTGGACGTCAGAGAGAAGCAGCTGGACTTCAGAGGGACAGCTTGATGACATAACTTTGGAGAAGAATCCAGCCAGAGATGGGTGGACTCCGGGGAAAGAGTACCATCTTCTTTTCAGCTCCCCTTCCTGCTGAGAGCCACTTTCATCGGCAATCAAATTCACTGCATTTACCATCCTTCGATTTGTTTGTATGACCTCATTTCTCCTGGATGCCAGACAAGAGCTCAGGAACCATCAGCGCTGATATAAAAGGCTGTTACACTGGCCCTTTGCCCTCACCAGAGGAGGGCAGCCACCTCATGCAAAAGGGCAGAGGGCCCACTGAGCTTTTAACACTCAAGCTGTCCACGGGTGGCAGAGCTGAAAGAGCACCATAACATACCCTCTGGGGCTTTGGGAGTTGCAGGCACCCCTGCCGGTTCATTGCCACCTGGGGTCTGCATGGAGTTTGCTCCTGGGGTGCCCAAAAGCGCTCACTGTAGCTCCTGTACCTACTCACCTGTGTGTTCGCTCCTGTCGGGTGGAACACAGTGGTCTGAGTGAGTGGAGTTTGATCTCGCTGGTGCCAAAGTGGCTGGTCGGTTCCAGTGCTTGTGCACCCCAGTTCCTGCCTTGTTTGCTTGTGCGCGCCCTCCCGTGAGAACTTGAGAATGGCAGGCAGAGTAAATGAGGCACCCCTGTCGCCAGTCCTGCAAAGGGGTCAGTGAAATATTCTCCTCCAATAGGTTTTTCTGTTTTCATCAACCTATCTGCTTTCTTCCTCTCCTCTGCAGCTTAGGTTCCATGGGCCACCATTTTAACCACTTACTTGCCAGTATATTGAACTTTCTCCCTTTTTGTCCTTTCATTGCCTATTCTGTAAAACCCCAACCCTGGATGAATACAACTATCTATATCTTCTATATACCTACACCTGGACTACTGACTTCTATTCAGCAGATTAGGTGTCATTGTAAATTTATGGCAGACAATCTACCGAGCCCTCAATACTATGCAGCAAATCTGTGATTCTCAGGCATGTTATCTCTCTTAACTCTTTGAAACCTTCTCAAAACTTTGTCTATTATTTCTTCTATTGCTCTTAGATTACAATGTCTTCTTCTTCATGGAGAAAATATAAATTTCAGAAGGGAATTACCTCAATTTTCTGCCATCAAGTCTACATACGGTCTACATCTGTCTCTATCCATTTCTACTTCTCTCCTGTGACAATGGAGAGGTTGCCCCTTCTGTTTAAGGTCAATCTCTTCGTCCTTTTCTGGAATACCATGCCATAAATTATGACTTATCTTTCTTGCATCTTCAGCCTCTTCCTTTCTACTGGCTTCTTGATATTAACATTTACACATACTCAAGTCTCTTCTATGTTAAGAAAAAGTCTTCCCTGGATCTGTTACTAACCTCACTCTCCCTCATTCGTAGCCAAAGTCCTCAAAAGAAAACTACACTAGAAATTCCCAAATACTGATTCATGGACTATAAGACCATCAGGAGATATTTTTAGGTGTCCGTAGCAAAATAAAAAGGAAATGAGCTAATGTTGTCCATATTTACTCATATAGCAAGTTATAGATATGAGTCAGATTAAGGTTACTATTTTCTCCTGAAGACTGTTCATTATTCTTTTATATCCTTCCCAGTTTTCTGAAATTCAATGCTTTTTAATAAAATAATGACAGTAGTAGGTAGAACTAAAAACATTTCTGCTTGGCAAAATAAAAACTTACCCTGTCTACATAATACAAAAATATTTTGCATTTATTTACTGTTGCTTTAAGTTTAAAAGTGTTGAACTGACTTTGTTATATTTATTTCCTCACCTCTAACTCACCCACCAATACTTCTCCATCTGGATATTGCGCCAACAACTCTGCCAAAAATGCTGTTACTGAGGTACCTGGTGAGCTCTGTAAAGCAAAAGATAATTTTCATTTTATTAGATCCTTCGGTACATTGGATAAAATTGACCACTTCCTCTTCCATAAAAAGTTTACCTTTTATGGCTTCCATTATACTCCATCTACTGGTTTTCTGCACCTTTCCTTGACTTCATTTCCATAGTCTTTCACCGCCTCCTCCTCTACTAAATCACACTAGTGCTGGAAATCCTTGGTCTCTGTCCTATCTAACTTGTATTAGTCTACATTGTCTCCCAGGGTGATTTCATTCCCTCCCAGAGCTTCTGTGTCTAGATTCTGTGTCTGATTTCTTTATGTGACATTTGATAAGTGACCTGAGATGAGTCAGAAACTGAGTTCATCAGTTTTCCCTCCTTTCAAATCTGTTCATCCTCCATCTCAGTAGATAGCATTATCATCTACTTTCATGCTCAAGCCTCAAATTTAGAAGTTGCCTTGACTTCCATCTTTCCTTTATCACCTACATTTATTTCTAATCATTAAGACAGTTAATTGTTTTAAACAATTCTCACATCTGTCATCTTCTTTCCACCCTCCCTGCCGACATCCTGGTCTAGGCTACCATCGTTTCTTTCCCTACCACTGCAGTGAATTCCTACATGGACTGCCTCACTCTTCAAAACATCCTCTAAACTGCAACCAGAATGATCTTCTAGAAATGCAAATCTGACAATATCACTTCCCTGCTTAATGCCTTTTAGTGATATCCCCTTACTCTGATGACCACAGTCAGAATTCTCAACACGGCTCCAAAGGCTCTGCTTAGAAGCCAGATTGGGTCCGACTTCCTCTCTGGCTTTTTTATCACTCTTCTTCATTCATTCCCTTCCAGCCAAAAAGCAGTTCCTCCAAGACACCCTGCTGTCTCCTATCTCAGTGTTCCTGCTCACGGGATTCCAATGCACAGAATATTTTCTCCTATGTGAGTCTTCATACTTATAATTCCTACTCATCCTTCAGAGTTGAGCTTAATTCCTGCCCTCCTTAGTGAAGCCTTCCCTGACCTACATTTCTCCAAACTGTTTGTTCACCCTATTAATCAATTCTCAAATATCCTGTAATTTTCCTTGTCAGTACTTTGTACACTTACAATTGTTTGATTGGTCATTTATGAATTGTTTAATGTCTGACTTCCTTAAGAATCTGTAAACTCTATCAAGACAGAAATCATGTCTATGTCATTTATCACCATATTTGCAATATCTAGCACAATGCCTGACATAGCTTAGGTGCATAATAAATATGTTGATGATTGATTTATTGACTCTTTTTAGAGCTGAGGAACTAGCCTCTCTAAATAACAGTACTTTGTGGAAAAATGCATTCACATTCTAACATGACTTTTCTTTCCTCAACCACACTTCTTTAATTTCTTTCTTTCTCTCTCTTGCTCTCTTTATATACATAGAAATGGTGCTCTCATTCTCCGACCTATATGTAAAAAGTCTCTAATGTGATGGGCATTGGAAAAAGCGTGGGTTCTGGAAGAAGGGTTAGGTCAAAGACCTAAGGGTGAAATACCCTGGGGATTAGGTTTTTATCTCAGACTATGTCTGAGATAGGTTTTCTCTCTATTCTCCAGGCTCTAACGTTTCTGGATTTTTGTTTTTTCTCTAGTAAAGAATCAGAAGCACAGCTAAGCCAACCACAACCCTTTATTTTCTTTTATCAGAATTGTGTAGGAAAGATAAAAATCTATTCTTGGATACCAACATTGAGTCCATAACTTAAATGCAAAGGTCCAAAAAAGTGGAATCTATGAGTTGTGGAATATGCAGATAATCAACCAAAGTGATGAATCCCACTTACTACGACAAACAATGGATGAAAGTTCCCATTGTTTCCTATTCTTGCCAACTCTGGTTTTAACTGACTTTTAAATTTTTACCAGTTTGGTGACTGCAAATGCTATCTCATTGAAGCTTTATTTTGCAGTTCCCTAGTTATTAAAGCATTGGGTGTTGAAGTTGGCTCTTAACACTGGTAACTTGAATAGTCTATGATATTTACCACACAGAAATAAGCAAATACTACAAGTCAGGACTTCCTCACACAGGAGGACCAGTTGTTAAATATTACCAGTCCACAGCTGTTGATAAGGCTGAATATTTACTCATACCTTTATGGGCTTTCATGTTTTCTCTTGTTAAAATACCTGTTGGTTTTGGCCTATTTTTAAAAATTAAGCTAATTTTTTCTTTGTAACTCATGCACAGTTGCTCTTTATGTATCGTAAACACTAATCCTTTATCAGTTAAATGTATTGCCAATATCTTCTCCCAGAATGTAGCTTGTATTTTCATTGCTTCCTCACGTCATTTAAAAAATAATCATTAAAAAATTATTTTGGACATGTGAAAATCTTTACATTATTAATGTATACAACTTGGTGAGTTCAGAGATCAACATATATCCATGGCACAATCACTATAATCTATGCCATAAGCCTGTCACCTCAAAAAGTTTCCTTCTGACCTCTTAATTAGTATTATTATTTTTGTGATAAGACTTCATATAAGATCTACCATTTTAGCAAAATTTTAAGCATACAATATAGTATTGTTTCTATAGGCACTATGCTGTACAGTAGATCTCTAGGACTTATTTATCTTGTATGGACAACACTTTGTACCTGTATTAGTCCATTTTCATGCTGCTAATAAAGAAATACCTTTACTATTTCCAAATAAAGGAAACAGGTTTATTTGACTCACAGTTCCACATGGCTGGGGAGGTCTCACAATAATGGCGGAAGGCAAAGAGGAGCAAGTCACATCCTACATGGTGGCAAGCAAGAGAGTATGTGCAGGGGAACTCCTCTTTATAAAACCATCAGATCTCATGAGACTTATTCACTATTACGAGAATAGCACGGAAAAGACCTGTCCCCATGATTCAGTTACCTCCCACTAGGGCCCTCCCATGACATGTGGGTATTATGGGAGCTACCATTCAGGATGAGATTGGTGTGGGGACACAGCCAAACCATATCAGTACCCTTTGACTAACACCTTTCCATTTCCCCTTCTCTCAGCCTTTGGCAACCACCATGCTACTCACCTTCTATAAATTTGATTGTTTTAGATTCATCATAGAAACGTGATATGGTTTGGATGTGCTGCCCAAATCTCATGCTGAATCATAATCCCCAGTGCTGGAGGTGGGACCTGCGAGAAATGTTTAGATCATGGGGGTAGACCCCTCACACATGGTGTTTTTTGTGATAGTGAGTTCTCATGATATCCGGTCATGTAAAACTGTGTTGCACACCCTCCCCCCTTTCTTTCCCTCTTGCTATTGCTTTTGCTATATGAGATCCCTACTCCCCCTTTGCCTTCTGCCATGATTGTGAGCCTCCTAAGGCCTCCCCAGAAGCTGCTGAAGGCGCTATACTTCCTCTACAGCCTGCAGAACCATGAGCCAACTAAACCTCTTTTCTTATAAATTACCTAGTCTCAAGCATTTCCTTATAGTGATGCAAAAATGGCCTAATGCATAAAATTGGTATCAAGGAGTGAGGCATTGATATAAAGATACCTGAAATTATGGAAGTGACTTTAGAATTGGGTAACAAGCAGAGGTTGGAAGAGTTTGGAGGATTCAGAAAAAGACAGGAAGATGAGGGAAAATTTAGAACTTCTTATAGACTGGTTAAATGGTTGTGACCAAAATGCTGGATAGTGATAAGGACAGTGAAGTCCATGCTGATGAGGTCTCAGGTGGAAATAAAGAATTTATTGGGAGCTGGAGCAAAGGTCATGTATGTTGTGCCTTAGCAAAGAACTTGGCTGTATTCTGTTCATGCCGTAGGGATCTGTGGAAGTTTGAACTAAAGCCTGATGATTTAGGGTATCTGGAGGAAGAAACTTCTAAGCCACAAAGTATTCAAAATGTGGTCTGGCTGCTTCTTACAACCTATGTTCAGATGTGGGAGCATAGAAATTGATTTAAAGTTGGAATTTAAATTTTAAAAGGGAAGCACAGTGTAGAAGTTTGGAAAATTTGCAGCCTGGACATGTGGCAACAAGCAGAGGTTGGAAGACAGAAAAAGCTTTTTCTCAGGAGAGAAATTCGAGGAGGCTGTGGAGTAACCACTTGCTAGAAAAATTTGCCAAGAGAAAGGGAGCCAAGTGCTAATAGCCAAGATAACGGAGAAAAGGCCTTGAAGGCATTTCAGAAAGTTTCACAGCAGTCCCTCCCTTCACAGACCTAGAAGCCAAGGAGCGAAGAATGGTTTCACAGGCCAGGCCCAAGGCCCCACTTCCCTGCTCAGTCTCAAGACACTGTTCCCCACATTCCCACTGTTCTGGCTCTAGCCCTTGTTCAAAGGAGCCCAAATACAGCTCAGGCCATAGCTCCATGGGGGCAAGCTCTAAGCCTTGGCAGCTTCCACGTTGTGTTAAGCTTGTAGGTGCACAGAATGCAACAGTAAAAGAGATATGGCAGCCTCTGCCTAGATTTCAGAGGATGTATGGAAAAGCCTGGGTGCCCAGGCAGAAGTCTGCTGCAGGGCAGAGCTGTCACAGAGAGTTTTCTACTAGGGCAGTGCCAAGGGGAAACATGAGGCTAAAGCCTCCACAGAGTCCCCAGTGGGGCACTACCTAGTGGAGCTGTTAGAAAGGGGTTACTGTCCTCCAGACCCCAGAGCAGTAGAGCCACTGGAAGCTTGTGCCCTGCACCTGGAAAAGTCACAGATACTCAACAAACCATGAGAGCAGCAGTGGAGGCTGAACCCTGCAAACCACAGGGGCAGAGCTTTCCAAGGCCTTAGGAGTCCACCCCTTTCATCAGTGTGCCCTGGATGTGGGATATGGAGTCAAAATAGATTATTGTGGAGCTTTAAGATTTAATGACTGTCCTGCTGGGTTTAGAACTTGCATGGGGCCTGTACTCGCTTTCTTTTGACTAGTTTCTCCTTTTTGGAATGGGAATGTTGACCCAGTGTTGATATTCCCATTGTACCTTGGAAGTAAATAACTTGTCTTTGA